TTCGCAAGTCGGCCCCAGTCGGCAAATTGCTTCGTTACTGTTCGGCAAATTGCGAAATCGGCATTCAGCAAATTGTAAAAGTTAAGAACGAAGGCGATAAATAAAGCGATAAATTTTGGATTTAAAATAATGGTTTGTGTGGTCTTATGTCAAAACCATTTAAATGTATTTCTATTATCTAGTAATATTAGTCTTTTATTTGTCGAAAATCGACGGGAGGGCATACAGCGATCGGTATCATCGATCGGTTGCATATGATCATATCCGTTTTACTCGCTTTCTGACGCATAAAATTTAAACTCTTGGAAAATCGGGTCGTACAAAAGCCCAGTTAACACTATCCGGCTTAGAGACTGCTCAAAATACAAAAAATATTATAAATTGTCTATTCGGCGCCTGGGGATAAAAAAGGTCAAATTCATCAAATTGCCATGAAAATATTGAAACAAAATATCAATGCAATCACATGCAGATACTTGGATACCCTGGTTCCAGAGGTTTATTCTTATTATTTTCATTGCGAAGGGGAGAGGAAAAATAAACCTCTGGTTGAAAGCGGCAATTGATTCATTGAGCCGCGCCAATCAGTTTGAATTAGCGTCAGATCCCGACTCTGTCTCCTGATTGGATGATTGTATTAAAGTTCTCTGATTGGTTCAAATAGAACATCTATAACCAATCAGAGAGCTTTAATACGATCATCCAATCAGGAGACAGAGTCAGGATCTGACCCTAATTCAAACTGATTGGCGCGGCTCAATGAATCAATTCGGCCGCTTTCAACCAGAGGTTTATTTTTCGTCCCCTTCGCAATGAAAATAATAAAAATAAACTTCTGGAACCAGGGTAATACTTGGATAACTTTTCTGACTTTGCGGAGATGCGCGTCTGCACCACAGTCTAAGACACTCGTTACTCAGACTATATGCACACGGTACCGTTTCCGTCGCTTTCCGAGCGTTTTTCGGTTTTTGGTTGTAATGCGTTAATTTCTGAAACTGAAAGTACCATTTTCACGCACGTTCTTTTCACACGAAAACGTATGAAAACGACGTCAGGAAGCAAAAACGTTTCAAATAGTGAAAACGATGCCAAAGATTCGTTCTCTATGTCTGAAACGTTTGGTCGTTTTGGCACTTTGTTATTGTGTAAACAGAAAAGTAGAAGGCGAAAATGAAATTCCGTGTTTGAATTTGGAAACGAAGACTATAAAAACTAGTGCTTTGTCAGAAAATGTTGCGAAAAAACGATCAATGTGAACAAGGCGCCTAAACGCTAAATTTGAAAACGGCACTGCAAAAACGCTCAAAAACGTGACCCGTGTGCACATAGTTTCAGTCTCGATTTAGGACTTATGAAAACACAGTATAAATTATGTTAAATTTAAATTTTTTTCAGCTTTATATGTTTAATATAAATAAATTAAAATAATACTCCTATCTGAAAACAAACGCACGAAAATAAAATAGTGCTCATCATTGAGCTGTGGTTGCAGTTATTGCGATTGTGTGTTTCGATTTCGTGACCTTATATTTGTTTGTTCTTAGAATGTCATATTTTATATATAAAGCAACCCGATTCCTTTTTAGCAACAACCCACGAACAGGCATCCATTTCAAAACAAGAGCCATATTGGTGTCCCTCGGTTACTAGCACACCAATATGATTCTCATTACCTAAATCTAACCTTTACAAACTTTTGAAAAACTCGGCAAATTCAACTAGCGTCACTCGGCAATTTGACCTTCGACACCCCTAATCCATATCTCTTCGCAACGGCCTGTGCAGAGGTTGGATGAGTTTTGAAAGCCCGCGTGTGAGAATCTTTCACGTTCGCGTGACGCTTCACACAAAAGTGACAAATATCACACATTTCTGGGTTGCACATAATGGTCAACCTATATGGGAGAGCGATCCTTGTTCAAGCCTGTCGATATCAAGCGGGAACAGATTGTTCGTTTTTTTACGCTTGTATATATATAATTGCTCCAAGTCTGCCTCCCAAAGGGCTTTTTATTTAGGAGTTTTAAAAGGTACGCGAAAATGCTAACGTGAGGAATTTTAAGGCTCGCCTTAAAATTGTCCCCACTCGCACTATAGAAATACCGAAAAAATCTTTGAGAGGCAGATTTTCAGTAAGTCCAATACATATTGAGTGAATTAGTCGCCCCGATAACTATCTTTCTTTTTTTAGTTGACCCAGCTAAGGGCAGTACAGTCTCAGTTGGTGAAACCCACCGATATACTATTAATCATAGCGTATAAAATTGTCTTCAAATACATAATGCAAGAATGGAGATATTAAGATTCTTGATTCATTATGTTCAACTGTCGTTATCAACGTCTTATAATTCTCTGTCGTGGCGGTTTGATCTGGTTTATTTGGTTCTGTGGCCGTAGTATGTTTATCATTTACGCAGTCTTTATTGGGCTCTGTTGTTGGCGAAGGACTCTCTTTTTGATCTGGTTTATTTGGTTCTGTGGCCGTGGCATGTTTATTATTTTTTACACAGTTTTTATTGGGCTCTGTTGTTGGCCAGGGACTCCCTTGTCTGGGTTGTTGCGTTTTCCAGCAGGAGACGAAACTTTCGCGGCATTTTGACGAGTTCTTGGTTTATTCTGTCTTGGTAGAGGGACAATTAGAGTTCTCTTCTGCGAATTATCCTTGGAATTTGGAATTTGTTCTCTCAAATTAGGTGGTGTTACACCCGACTTGGAGACAGGGGAATTATTAGGAGAGTTCTCGGCGTTGGGAATTTCAAGGGTTGAGGAAACTTGGTCAAGGGTTGGTTGTTATTGGTTGTGTTGTTGTTGGTTACTTGAGGTCTTCTGTGAGGTTAGATGGTTTCTCACCAGGGGAATCAGATGTGTTAGTTGAAGGTGTGTCAGTTTGGTTATCATCAGATGTGGAGGAGTTTGGTGATCCGACGGTAGGATTTTTTGTTGTGCCTTTTTGGTCAGGGCTTGGTGGTTGGGGGTTTGTGGTACTGTCTGGTGGTGGTTTTTCAATATTTGCATCTGGCTGGTCATTTCCAGGTGGACCAACTTTTTTGCTGGAGTTGGTTGAGTTGTGTGGTCTGATGGTGGGGGATTTATTCTGTTGGTCATCATCTCCCGGTGGTTTATCACTATGAGAGCCTGGCTGTTCATTTGAAAGTAATCCATGTTGGGTATTGGAAGTGGTGATGTTTTCTTGTCCTGTTGTAGTATTTATTGTGTCGAGTGATGTACTCTCTTGGTCGTTGACTGGTAGTTGGTAGATTTTTGGTTGGGATTGGCGATCTTTCACTTCCAGGATATGATCCAGCACGGGTGGATCGAACTACGCGGTATTCTTGCGGTATATTTGGACGATTTCCAAATGGCTGGGGATTTGAAGTAGTCTCCACGAAGCCAGGTTGTTTGGCATCTAGTGGTTGGTTAAAAATCTCATAGCGATCTGAGTGGGAATGTTGGTTATTTCGTGCATTTTCAAGATCTCTTGTATAACTGCTGACCGACCCTGGACCTGTCTCATTCGGTCATTGTCCTTCGTCCTAATTGGTGGTATCTCTGGTGCAAGGAGTAATTTACGTTTTGCTGACAAATATGGGGTCTTGCTTCCGAAGTGTGTTCACGAATTTTGCCCACGTCGTCGAGGTATGTTAGTTGAGTATTATGTCACGTTCGGTTAAAATTCATGTCACGTACCGTAATCAGCGTAAGCTAAATTTGGCCAACCCTACACCTAGGGGCTAGGTTTGCAGTGTAAACACGGTTTTAGAAATATTCTTTAAGATTTTCCCATATTGTGAAGTCAGAATGTCCTCGGATGATTCGATGTAATTCAACAGCAAGTGTGGGAAATTTTCTTTCAAAATATTGTTGTGGTGTAACGACGGTGGTCTGGACATTGGTAGGTGGTGTCTTGTCACGCCAGTGGGTTTCCATGTTTCGAATGAATCTCAGTAGATCTGCGACATCGTTTGTATACGGACGCTTATATGCATGTGCAGTCATGAAATTCATCACCCAACTTTCGATCACTGATAACCAGTTGGTCAAACCAGGCAAGTTATTTAATTCTTGAACAACGATTGATGTAGGATCCTTGGTTTTAATTTCTTTCTGGTTGCCAACACATGTGACAAAATTAAAATTATCTTCAGCTGTTCGCAGGTATGGATGTTTCAAACATTCATCAACATTGGGTCGTTTGCCAGGATCATGTTGGAGCATCCATGTCATAAGATCTCTTGCACATAGATCACTTAAATGCTTCAAATCAAAATTTCCTTTTGATATATTACTATTTCGATGAATTCGTGCACCGTATGGATGTTTTCCTTTGGTCAAGACGTAGTAACATAGCATTCCAACAACCTGAATATCAGATTGTTTCTTATAACGAACTTGGATATCTTCATAAGATAAATAATCATCGTCGTCCTCTTCAGTTGGAAGTGATTCCACTGCCATCCAGCCTTCAGTTCCACTGACACCGCTCTTGTATGTGGTTTGCTCTTCTGGTAGTGTTCGACTAATTCCAAAATCAGCAAGCACCATCTCGCCTTCCACGCTTACGAGTATATTCGACGGTTTCATATCCCGATGCAGTATTTCCGGATCACCACAATGAAGAGCTCTTACGCCATAGAGTATTTGACGTATTATATTTGGACATTCCTTTCGTAACTGTTCGACAGAGCGTCCTTCGTTATGAACATAATCCCGCAAGCTTTCTTCGTGTAAATCCAAAACTAAGTAAGCTTTTGTAGAATCAACTGGTTGGTAAAAGCGATAGTTGACAATGTGTTTTTCTTGTCGGACATTTGGACAATTTAAGATTTTTTTCTCATTGTCACCCATTTGCCGACATTTTTCCAGATTCATGCACTTTATGGCCACTTCATAGCCATCATCCGATAATCCAACATAAACTTTCGTTCCGTCACTTCCTTGACCAATGCTAAATTTATTATCAAAACAAACGCGATATGTTCCAATTGTCGTTGCCTTTAAAGGATTGGTCTTTAAAAGTTCCACAAATTCTGACAGTTTTGAACCATGCTTCATGGACCTTTGTGTCCATTGGACTTCTGTGTTACTTGCTAGAAAAAATAAACAACGCAGAGATCCTAAGGATAGTGCAATGTTTCAAGGCCATAAACTATATTTTTTTAATTTTTCAATTAAGTTATATTATGCATGCATAAATTATACTATTTTGTATGGTTGTAAAAATAGAGTCACGATGCTGTTTCAACGGCTGTAAACCACTTATAAATCATAAGTATTCTTTAATGATAATCATCTTGTTTTAGAGTAGTATTTTTATGCTATTGTTGATGAGCACGTTCTCATTGCCGTTGTACTTTCCAAACTCACTAAAAATCGCAAACCATTGCAGTGATAACATATCGTACGGAATATTTAATAAACCTACTTTGTAAGCTCAGCGGAGTATAGAACGTATTTCCTCCACCACTCTTTTTTTTTCGAAAGTCCACATGATAATCGTTTTCTGTCACTCGGTCTTGATTGGTTGATCTTGCTTTCTCAGCGCTTTCTTCTCTTTCTGATTTTTCATTGTTCGGTTTTGTTTCTGTATCTTGAAGTTTTACATCCAGAAGTTTTCCTTTGAAGACTTGTTTTGTGTCAACAACTCTTATCGCCACTAAAAAACCCAAAATGTTTTAGAACAGACAAAACGTGAAAATATGCAAAATAAATGCTTTCTTATAGACAATATAAATGTTTGAACATGTGAGATAACATTACTATGATTAGGACACCATAATACATGCTGATTTGGTCGTTGAGTATTCTAACCTTTAGGATCTTCAAACACGACCAAAGCTGTGTTTTCTTCTGGTAAAACTGTCACTTTCTCAACTTCTCCTCCACCATTCTTTCTCTTATAAAAGTGGATATGAACACTATTTTCACTCACTCCTTCAGGAAGGCCAGATACCAAAATTGTTCTTGATTTCTCAATGTTTTCTTTTTCTGGCTCTCCTTTATTCGGGTTTGTTTCTGTCTTTTGAAATTTTACATTCAAAACTTTTCCTTTGAAGACATGTTCTCTATTAACAACTCTTACCGCCACTAAAAACACGAAATATTTTAATAGAGCAGAATAACATGTTGTTCAAAAACTTGTCATCCATAAAGTAAACTGCTTTATATAATAACTACAGCGAAACACGCAATTTGATTGGTCAACAGCCGTGCAGGATCAGACAATCCTGCACGGGAAATTCTGAGCAGAAATTCTTGCACATAATTTTACAAATATACTCGCATTGTAAAGTTCCATTGTACGATACCTTTCGACTTTGAAGTAAGTTTGCAATTATTGAGACGTTGGTTTATGGTTGGTTGTATGAATAAATTTCTGATCGATACATTACTATTCAGCAAGTAGCAACGCGTAGCGTTGAAATTCATCAGACCATGGCATGCAAGTACAACATCTCTCGCTTCAAAGTTGATCAAACGCTTCTCAATCTTCACATATTCAGGTCGAGAATCTTGAAAGCTACTTTGGTTCTCTGTTTAGCGGGTTTTCCATTTCAAATTTCGTATATTTTATCGAAAAAAGTCCCTGTATTTTCGCTGTATATTTTCGCGAATTTGCGATCAAATTCTGTTCACATATGTTGTTGTTTTCAATAGCGTGGAGTAGCGATTCTCCGATTGGTTAATTCACGATTGTTGTGAGAACTGCACATTTCATCAGTAATTTTAATCAAGTTAACCGTTGTTTCACTGTAGTAATTTTATAAAACAATTACCAAATGGTTTTCCCGTGCAGGATAGCATGATCCATGCACTTGGGATGTTGCTCAACTTTCGGAAAGCGTAAAAATACACTCATCTACGGCTCGTGTATTTTTACGCTTTCCGAAAGTCTCGCAACTTCCCGCGTGCATGGCTCACGCAATCTTGCACGGAAAACCATTCGGTATTCCTTTATTTCAGCACGGCAGCAGTGTAGTAACTTGTAGTGTCCAAATGAGGTCGAAATATTAGTTAAAATTATATTAATTCCTGAAGTCCCGTTGCTGCGATTTCTAGTGCGATTTTCTTCTTTTGATAGATGTGAACGAGTAGATGAGTTGTGATTCTTCTGAGTGTATGTACCCTCATCTGAACATTCATGCCTCAACCACTCATTCAAATCCAGCAGAAGAAGAAAATCCACACCTCAAGTCGCAGCAAAATTTGCAAGTGTAAACGGTCCTTGAATGGCCGAACCAGGAATCGAACCCCAGATCTTTGGTACCGAGTTTTGATACCATGCACAATGGAATAACGAAATCTGTGTTTCGAATTCGACCCCATTAGCGCCTTGGTGTAAGAGCGACTAGCCGGCATGGAAAAAAATTCGAAACAATGTCAAGACAATGAAACATTCTGACCGCTGATTCTGACCATTTAGAGAATCATGCTGTAATCAGAAGGCGCGATATAGTTAACTCGCCACTGACAAACCTTGGATGTCTTCAAAGACCACCATTGCATCCTTTCCTGGCAGAAGCTTGACTTTTTCAATCTCGCCTCCACCATTCTTTTTCTTTTGAAAGTGGAGATGAACAGTGCTTTCTTTCACTCCTTCAGGAAGACCAGAAACCAGTATTGTTCTTGATTTCTCAACGTTTTCTTTTTCTGGCTCTCCTTTATTCGGGTTTGTTTCTGTCTCTTGAAATTTTACATTCAAAACTTTTCCTTTGAAGACATGTTCTCTATTAACAACTCTTATCGCCACTAAAAAAACCCGAAATATTTTAATGGAGCAGAATAACATGTTGTTCAAAAAACTTGTCATCCATAAAGTAAACTGCAGCACGGCAGCAGTGTAGTAACTTGTAGTGTCCAAATGAAGTCGAAATATTAGCTAAAATTATATTAATTCCTGAAGTCTCGTTGTTGCGATTTCTAGTGCGATTTTCTTCTTTTGATAGATGTGAACGAGTGGATGAGTTGCGATTCTTCTGAGTGTATGTACCCTCATCTGAACATTCATACCTCAACCACTCATTCACATCCAGCAGAAGAAGAAAATCCACACCTCAAGTCGCAGCAAAATTTGCAAGTGTAAACGGTCCTTGAATGGCCGAACCAGGAATCGAACCCAAGATCTTTGGTACCGAATTTTGATACCATGCACAATGGAATAACGAAATCTGTGTTTCAAATTCGACCCCATTAGCGCCTTGGTGTAAGAGCGACTAGCCAGCATGGAAAAAAAATTCGAAACAATGTCAAGACAATGAAAAATTCTGATCGCTGATTCTGACCATTTTGAGAATCATGCCGTAATCAGAAGGCGCGATATAGTTAACTCGCCAGTCGCCGCTGACAAACCTTGTATGTCTTCAAAGACCACCATTGCATCCTTTCCTGGCAGAAGCTTGACTTTTTCAACCTCGCCTCCACCATTTTTTTTTTTTTGAAAGTGGATATGCACATGGTTCTCTGTAATTCCTTCATGAAGACCTGAAACAAGAACTGTACCAGATTTTTTCTTCCAAA